CTTGACATGTACTGTTAAAGTATAATTCCTCTCAGTACACTGACAGAGAGCATGTTGGTCAGTCTCTCTGCACACCCTGGGTGTGGGCTGTCTTCTCTTTGCTCAGAGACCTTCCACCTCACATGTATGTATGTGTTCTGTGAGTCTTACCCCCAGTGGACTCTCTGTCTCTGTCTCTCTCTGTCTCTGTCTCTCTCTCTGTCTCTGTCTCTCTCTCTGTCTCTGTCTCTCTCTGTCTCTCTCTGTCTCTCTCTGTCTCTCTCTGTCTCTCTGTCTCTCTGTCTCTCTCTCTGTCTCTCTCTCTGTCTGTCTCTCTCTCTGTCTGTCTCTCTCTCTCTCTCTCTCTCTCTCTCTCTCTCTCGCTCTCTCTCTCTCTCTCTCTCATAGTACTGGGGTTTGAACCTAGGACCTTTGTACATCCCTATCCCCTTTATAAAATTATATATTTTAAGACAGGGGCTGGGCTCAAGTTTTTGGTCCTCCTGCCTCAGACTCCCGGAGTGCTAGGATTATAGGCACATGCCACCACACCTGCCACTTCAGATCATTCTGTAAGCCTCTTAGGTAGAGTAGCCTCCCTTGGAGGCCAGCAGGCAACCATGCCTTCTTCATATCAACATGTGGACAACTAACAGTAGCAGCAGGCACGTCCAACTCTATGTATCCTCCTTTCTCCCCCTGTGTTCACTCAACTGCTCACGTCAAAAACCTTGGTCCTCCCGGCCTGTTTCTTGCTGTGTTTCTTACCCAGTCCACTGGCAAGTCCCGTCGTCCCTGCCTCCTGCGGCATTTTCTCTTCCCCTGTTATTCCTGTGCTGTTCCTCGAGGCTCTCAGGGCTTGCCTCCCCTCGCCTGCCTTCTGTCTGCTCTCCACTCGGGAGATCGCTGGGAGACAGCACATTGCTCCCCCAGGTAGAACCCGAACAGAGTTTACGTAAGCCCCAGTTCCACTACTAAGCCGTTCAGAGCCCGTGTACTCTGGCACTGGCTTGCTTTTCAAAATGCATTTCCTATCACTGTGTCTCCGGGTCACAGAGCTTCTGCTGCCGGGCAGTCCCATTCCTCCCTTCTGGTCTCTGCCTGAAGAATCCTTTCTTGGCCACCGAAGGCAGCATGTGCAGCTCCCCACCACCACTCTGTCCCCTTCCGAGCTGCCCTTTTCCTGTTCGCCCTGCTCACTGCTTGGTGTGCTACTGTGTGATTGCCTGTTTGCCTGTTTGCTGCCCATAGTGTCCATGTGAACAAGGGCCCTGTTAGGGCTGGGACGTGTCTGTCACCTTTCCTGCTGCTCCTTCTCCAGCTCCTAGAGCAGCACCCTGCACTGGCCTACACTTTGCAATATTTATGATGAAAGCCCATGGCAGCCAACGCCATGCAAAGAGGGCAATGTGCAAATCTTTGGGGAAATACTTAAATTGAGTGCAAAAAGGCACTCTAAAGGAAGTGAGATTTTAGCTGCAGTTAAGGAGGCGTGTGGAGAACGCTTGGGAACTGGCACGCAAGGCGCCTAGCTGGGCTCATTTCTCCGCCCCAACTAAAAGTTTTTCAAATAACAAACCTGGGCGCACACACCAAAACCCCAGGCAGACAAAGAAAACTCAGCCTCTCAGCCTGAGAAGGCACTGTCACTCTTGTTCTGAAACAGTTGTTGAAGGGGGGGCTCAAACCAGAGCTGACGCCACTGCACTGCCCTGGGGTGCCACTGCCTCCCATCTGGGACAAAGTGGCAGCCCCAGGATACCCTGGGAATCCGAGTGGGCTGCTTGTGGCTGTCCCTCAGAAGTCAAGGCATGATTCTTAAGAAAACAGTGAGAAGCTAGAGAGTGACCCCTTTTATTAGGTTCACCATCTTAGCCACAGAGAGGCCACAGTGTTTGTCCACAGCCTGAAATGTTCAAAGGCCACCATGCTGAAAAAGAGGGCAAGGCTTTAGACCTCTTTTTCACCATTAATCCTGGTCCCTGCTGGTCTCCCCCTTTTGCATCAGAAAAGCTTTCTCGTATTTTTTTTTAAAGAAGAGGAGAAAACAGCTGTGTGGAATTTGAGAATGGGGTTTTAATGGTCACTGAAGATGCACAAAAGCTCTGCTGCGACACTGAAGTGTTCCGAGGCAATTGCCTCCTTTGTCTGGGCTGCAGCACAAGCTGGCTACTCCAGAAAAAGAGAGAAGCAAAGGATGATAACCGAAGCCAGCTCTGTGGCACATTTGTCCCTTCAGGACATTCAGAGTCAGTTTTTAGTGTTTAGCTCATTTTTACCTTGTTGAAAGAAACAAATGTGTTTGGAAGGTACTTGGCATGACTTATTTCCGAGGGTCATTCTTTCTGGAAGGAAAATGGAAATTGTGAGTGACAACTAGGATGGTTTATGTGAAGTGGGCCTTTCACTGTGAGGAAAGCAAACACAGCCCTCTTTTCCAGAGGGCAGCCCGAGGGGCATTTCTCAGCCCTTTGATCAGCTAGGAAATTGCAACAGATGTGCCATATTGTGAGGCCTCTCTTAGTAGAACCTTGAGAAAGCTTGGGGGATTTAGATAGTTCCAAGGAAGAAGAGGGACACCCTGAGGGCCCGAGCTGTGTTCATTCTTAGGTCAATGAAAACCAAGTCTGGGCTTGCCTAGCACTGGAGGGGACCATGCTGTGCCAGGGGAGCCATGACAGCTGCCAGCACAGATCAGCCTCTGTGTCAGGGCTGATGGGGCTGCTGGGAGCCGGGTCTCCACTGGGGTGCTTTCTCTTGAAGTGAAAACAGCCCTTCCCCACATGGAAATGGCTCTGGCTTTTATTTACTTTCGGCCAATCTTCATGACAGCATGGCTCTTGAGTGCCATGAAGAAGTTATTCTCTTACCCACTGGCCCACTGTAGATGCCAGGACAGCCTGGTGGGACGCAGTGTGACACGCCTGGCCAATTCCTAGCTCATAATTTAGCCCAGTTTCTCATGAGACGTCAGCTGGAGGCTGAGTGGGTACAGAGGTCATTACACAGTGAGGCCACTTTAGAGAGAAGTCTGGAATTATAGGTTGCCACCCACAGAGGTAAGCATCCCACACATAAGAGGTGTTTGACAGGAAAGGAAGGGGTATGTTCATTTTTAAGTTTTTTAGTTAAAAAACACATAATAAAATCATGTAAACATGATACTTAAATATTATAAAAGAAGAGCCAAACGATACCAAAACGCATAGAGATTTTAGATATTAGAATTGATAACATTTGATTGCAAAAACATTGGCACTGTGGTATGTCTTTGCTAACTGACCCAGAAGTCTCATTTTTAAGAAAGATTTTGGAGTGAATAACGAAGATATTTTTATTATGGATGTTAGATAACTTTGCCATGTTTGAGCCTAAGATTACATATAGAAATTTCATTTGTAGGCTAGATGAAAAGAGATTTTCTCCTTTCCAGACCTATGAGAGCTATAATAGCTAACTTTATCAGGTGATATTTTTCTTCTCAGTTATTCTATGCACTCTTCTGACCCTATAGACAATCCTTGAAAAATTCTCGAATTGTGCTTCTGCCTGTACATCTGTTTTTTTTTTTTTTTTTTTTTTCTTTTTGGCAGAACCGGGGATTGAACTCAGGCCCTTGCGCTTGCCAGGGAAGTGCTTATTCCACTGAGCCATTTCCCCAGCCCCTGCCTGTATATCTGTTAAATAACCTTTTTCTCCCGTTAGGCTCCAGGCTCTTGATCTTACCCTAGGCGTATTTCACAGAGTAACTCTGGGGCCTCATTTAATCTACGTAAGTCTCTGACTCTCTGAAGTGGAGCAAATAATAGCACTTCACTCCTTGGGGTTGTGTTGAGGATTAATGAGATAATGTATGCAAACCTATTAGCACAGCATCTAGTTATTTATTGTAAAGACTTGACAAATGTTAGCTGTTAGTCTATTTTGATGGCCATGAAGATGATGCTTGAATGTTATCACTAAGGGAGCCAAATTTGTCACATCTATTTCATATTCATAGCCTGAAATAAGGTATAAATCCATATTTAAATAACAGCATCAGAAATATAATCATAAATACAGATTAGGAATTTCCTTACTTCTTATTCTTTTGGGAGACATTTACAGCAGCTTACTCTTTGGAGCCAGTCATGGTGGCACAGGCCTATAATCCCCCCACTCTGGAGGCTGAGGCAGGAGGATCACTGCAAGTTGAAAGCCAGTCTGGACTACATAGTGAGTTTAAGGCCAGACCAGCCTGAATGATATTGCAATATCATGTCTCAAAACAAAAAACAGAGTTTACTTTTTGCACTGTATTAATTTTATTACCAACCAAAAATGTGTAGTGTACAATGCTTGAGGCCATACACACCCCAGCCACCAGGGGGAGTGCTTTTCAAAACGCAGCTGTTGATGATGTTCCTTTCCTTGCAGAATCAAACCCAAGAGCCTGGCACTTGAGAACATTTGTAATCTAGCCTCGGCTTTCCTTTCTTCTCTCTGTGCCTACACATCACGCGTGAATCCTTATGATCTGTCCCCTTTTTCACCTGGGGAATGTCTTCTTCACCGTTCAAGACGCAACATGAATGTGACCTTCTCTAGGAAGCTGTCTAGAGTGCTACTAGCCAGAATTAGTAACACCTTCCTCTCTGTTTTTTCTGCACTAGACTTATATTCAGTGAGTGAAGTTTTGCCATCCTCCTCCTCTGATAGCCCTGTGAAATAGGAAAGTTCAAAATTTTTAAAATAGCACTTCAACTATCAAAGGCTTCTGCCTCAAGAATAATTAAAAGACTCCTATCATCCCCACTCCAAGAAGCTCATGTTCAAAGGATAGATAGACCTGTAAATAATGCCGAGAACAGAGGTATAGGGATTACTGTAGAGAGATGTGTACAGGAGCCCAGAAGTGCCACACTACATTCGGGTACTGTGAGGTCAGCACTGTTTATTTACCTTCTTCATTCCAGCACTCAAGTTGTCCTCTCTCCACCTCTGTCCCTGCCACTTACCAGATTGTCCCCCCTTTTGGCTAGTCAGTTGCAGGGCTGGGACCTATTATGATGGAGCCCAAGAGCGCTGTGTTTTATGTCCAAATGGAACCTTCCAAAGTGAGGAGGGACAAGTCACTTGTGAACCATGCCCAAGACCAGAAAATCTTGGAGCCCTGAAGACGTCAGAAGCTTGGAACGTGTCTGAATGTGGAGGTAAGGATGCTGGCTGTCCCCTCTTACTTCTCCAGCCTCCAGTGTCATTGTTTGGACTAAGGCATAGTGACACCCCAGGACACGCTGGACTTCAGGCTTCCGACCAGTAGGGCCCCCATTGGGTTCATCTTTGGATCTCCTGTGTCAAGTTTTGTACCTGACTTGCTGGGCCAGTGCCAGCAAGAGCAAATGAATGAACACATGGTCGAAACATGGGCAGAAAAATGTAGTGGTGTGACTGGACACTGCATTCATACTCTGTGTGTACTTGAGATCCGTGTGATCACCCAGCCTGTAGGGACAGTTGGAAAGTGTCTACACGTGGAGCACGTAAGTCAGATTTTGTTTTCCAGTTTGGGTCTCAAATTTATGGCTTTTTGATCTAAAACAAATGTATCCATGTGGTTGTTTTGTTAAAATAGGGACCTCCTCTGTGAAGGGTTTTAATCATCTCATAAATCTTAACTTGTAAGCCAAGCTCAATTAGGTTCTGTGGGTTTCTTTCCTATTTACTTTATTGAATGTTTTCCTTTTATTAAATGAGGGAATGGACCAGAGAGATAGCTTAATGGAATAAGTGCTTGCCTGGCAAGCACAAGGTCCTGAGTTCAATCCTTGTACCACCAAAATAAGTAAGTTTAAAAAATGGGGGAATGGCCCACTGTACAGACACTGTGTGGCTCGAATGCAAGGTGTGATCTGGATTGAGATTTCTATCTAGGGGACATAGATGCCCTGCTGCTGCTTCCAGCCTCTTCAAACTCACCTGTGGGGCCATTGCTGGCATGAAAATCAGATCCTCTAGCTGAGTGACTGATTCCTAACAATATCTTTCACCTACCCTAAAATTCTAGAACCACAAGGTTGACAAGTGGGACTCTGGGACATCGATTCACCTTTCTCTGTGACCTTAAAATATAGCAACAGCCCCCACCCACCACAGCCTGACATGCCCTGTGGCCCCTGGTCTCCTGCAGTGCTTTCTGGGAAGAGGGCATGGCAGAGTCGGTGCATAACTTTCAGGAGCATGGCTACCTAGCAACCTACACAAACAAAAATGGCAGCTGGACCAATCTGAGAATTCATCCACATGGATTGGTGGTGCTGGACCTTCAGAGCTACAGCAGTGATACCCAGGGCAAAGAAGAAATTGATAATCTTTTGAACAAAATAGAATAAAAGAATTGAGTCAGGCCGGTATGGGGTGGGTGAAGCATTTGCCAACCATAGTTTGAGGAGGGGCCATCAACTGATACTGGCCTACAGCTGATGGGCATCTGGTTGAGTATGACATAGATGAAGCAGTATATGATAGTATACGATGATCAGAACATTAAAATTCCAAAGCACTTTGGAAATGTTCTCATCCTTAGTGGGGATGTTAATTTGGCAGAGGGTGATTTGGCATATACCCTGGGCATTGTGAGCAGTGGCAAAGAAGTTTACACTGGCAGAGACGTCCTGATTCCGAGAGGAGGACATGGAGGCGTTTATGTGAAATAGCCAGACTGAGACCCAAGATGGTCATTATGGTAGAGACTGACCAAATGGTGACTGATGCCTGTAGGAAATATATGTGGAAAACACGCAGCAATGTCTTAGACAATCTCAAAGGAGACTGCTGTCAGGTTCTCATAGAAGACTGTATTCTACTACTGAAGAGGTACACCAAAGAAGGGAGAGGGGTTGATTATGTGATGAATGATTTGACCGCTGTTCCAATCTCCATGTCTCCAGAAGATTTCACCTGGTTGTTTCTCAGGCTGGTTCTTGACCTTTCGATGAAAGTACTGAGACAGGATGGGAAAGATCTCACACCGGGGAACTGTGTCAGTTTGACAGAAGCCCTTTCACTCTAAGGGCACCTGTACTGTCCTATGGAATTCTCGAAGGGGAACATCTGTGTCTCTTCGTACTTGAGATTGTGGGTATTTGACACTGTTTGGAAGAAAGCTGAACCTGACGGTGAAGATCCCAACAACATGTGGTGCAGATGGCCTTCCTGTCCTGCACATGCTGTGTGTGCCACCAAAATAAGTCCGGCAATCCATTGTGACTTTCTTAAGTGTTTTCTCTTTTTAATTATTATTTTTATTTTTATTTTATTTTATTTTATTTTTTTGCGGTACTGGGGATTGAACTCAGGACCCCGCACTTGCCAGGCAAGCACTTATGCTACGGAGCTATTTCCTTGGCCCCCTTATTTTTAATTTTTAAAAAGCAAATTGAAAATGTGTATTTTGATGAGCTAGGGTGTTATTTTTTTTAAAGGTCAGCTGAAGGACAATTACAACAGCAAAGACTGAAATATACACCACCCCCTTGAATGTGATTTTTGTTACTTTTTATTTCTGTGTGGGTTTTTTTTCTTTCCTTTTCTGTATGGGTTTTTTCATTTTGTTTTGTATTAATTTTGAGAGAACTTCAATTTGGACCTTTGGAGGAATGAACATCATTGTTTTGGAGGGAAGTTCTTGATGGTTTTAAAACAATCAACTTAAATTTTAAAATTTGGTGCTTTTAAAAAAGTTAGAAGTTGGGGCTGGTGAGATGGCTCAGTGGTCTAAAGCACCTACTTAGAACAAGCTAGGCAAAGCACAGGGACCATGGTTCAATCCCCCAGCACCACATGCCAGCCAGCCCTGCCCCCTGGTGGGCTGAGCTGGCCACACACACACACACACACACACACAAATAAATAAAATTTTAAAAATAATAATAAAAATCATTTTAAAAAAGTTAGAAGTGAATAACAATGCTTCAGTTAACATTACAAAAGAGATTTAAAAAACTCCATAGCAACAGAATATTAGTAACAATGACAGTATTAAAATGATAACAGTTTAATAAATAGAATAACATTAATGAACTACCTTTGCTGGAAGTGTCCAATCTGGAGTATTTATTAGGTGGTTATGTCACTACTACTCTGTGAGGTAAGCGGAACTTCTCAAGGTCACACAACTAAGAAGTGAAGGACCAGGAGTCAGAACCTGTGTCACCAGGCTCCAGGCCGCTCCCTTGATGTGTGTTCTTTTTTTAAAATTTTATTTTCTTTGGAAGAGTAAAAACAAAAGCAAAAACAAATGCCAAAAAAAAAAAAAAAAAGCAGAAACAGGGTAACATACAAATACATATGTTACAGATTTTCCTTTTTATTCATTTTACTGAGAAAAATAGCAATAAAACAGTTTCAAAACAGGCAAGTAGAACAGTTACAATAATTAATACATTGCATATTGTGGTCTTCATAGAAGCTATTCAGAGGACAAGATGCAGACGTGATGTACTACCAAAAAAAAAAAAAATCTTTGGGGAGATAGCTCAGTGGCTTAAGTGCCTGCCCAGGATGTGTGTTCTTTAAATACCATTATTTCTACAACTTAGGGTAAAACCAAGACCATTAAAACTAATAGAGGAGAGATGGTCGGGAATACAAGAGACAAAGGTTCCAATAGTGTTAGCCAATGACAAGCCAATTCCTAAGGGAAAGTGTGCTTTTAGACATCCTTTTGTATTTGGCTGAAAAAAACAAAAGTAAATCAGTGTTGAAAGGAAATCTCACTGGGTCCCCCTGTCGGAGTGGGCCAGGACACACTTGTAAACAAGGAGATGTAACTTAGCAAATACAACTGCTAGACCCGGGAGAGCCTCGGGTCACTCTTGATGTCAGCTGGGTGCAGGTGCTCTTCTGGGTCTGATTACCAGATTAATCCAGATCAGAAGACTCGTCTCTAGATGCGTCTGCACTACAGGCATCCCTGGGCCGTGCGCAGGCCTAAGCCTCAGCTCGCCCCAGCCTTTCCTTGTGAAACCAGCAGGTTCTGTCTTGGCGCTGCGCTGGGTAGCGCTGTGTGTAAACTCCAGGCACTTGCTGGCCTACTCGGGCTGAGCGGGAGGCCAGGGCCAACCGCACATGGTAACAGGCTTGACGGAAGGTAGGAAATCGTCTGCAGCAAGGTAGGAAATGGTGTGCCTGGAGCATCTCTCACCTAGGGCTGTTGGATCCCCAGGTCTGTGCCAACCTGGTGAATATTCCGCGGACGGCTTTGCGCCTTGCCAGCTCTGTGCCCTGGGCACATTCCAGCCGGAAGCGGGCCGTACTTCCTGCTTCCCTTGTGGAGGAGGCCTCCCCACCAAACGTCTGGGAGCTACTTCCTTCCAGGACTGTGAAACCAGAGGTGAGCACTTGGCAGCTCGCCTGTTTCTAGAACTGATCAGATGTGCTCTGTGTGGTGCCCTCTGCGTTGGGGGTTCAAGTCCCTGTGCAAGAGTGACACCTTGGTTCTTGTGCACAGTGTCCCCTTGATTCCTGCCTCGAGAGCTGACCAGGGCCGGGTCAAGGAGAGGAAGGTCTTGCACACAGGCTTCCTGGCTCATCCACTGCTACTCCACCTCTGTCCTGGCCTAGCACCTCCCACCCCACCGATGAGTCCCACCCCTTCTCCGGAACTCCCCTCCCCGTATTTCCTCCCAGGGAGCCCAAGTCTAAGGCCAGCCTCAGTCTGCAGCTCTCAGTGCTGGCAACTGAGCTCCGCCTGAGGACTGGCGCTGCAGTGGCTAGCGCTCAACTGCGTGAGCCGTACCATAAAAGCACACATACATTTGTTCCTAGGCTGATTCTCAGTGGTGTGAGCCCCACCCACAATTGCTGTTTAGGGAATTAAGTGTTGATTAGCCACCGATTGGTAGGAAGATGCCACTGAATTTGGGCACAACAATTTATTTCACAAACTTTGAAACCTTTTATGTTGCATTTGATAAGAATACAGTCTTCTTTTTCTCCCTTCTGCTTTCTCCTCCTTTACCACCACTTCCTCCTCCTCCTCCTTTCTTTTCCTTCTCTTTGTCCTCTCTTACCCACAGTTCAGTGCTCCCCTGGACATTTCTACAATACCACCACTCACCGGTGTATCCGATGCCCAGCCGGGACGTACCAGCCTGAATTTGGAAAAAATAACTGTGTTTCCTGCCCAGGAAATACTACGACTGACTTTGATGGCTCCACAAACATAACCCAGTGTAAAAGTAGGTGTTGCCCTGAGGCTTTTCATAGTCCTGATTGAGAGGGCAAGTGACTGGGTTGGCCTGGGCCAGGTGGGAGAGGTGGCCAGCCCAGAGCCAGGTTCCTTCAGAGCAGAGAGGATGCTGTCAGCCCCACTCACAGCTGTGTCCGAGGGGCTGGGTCTCCTCACCTGAAAATGGGGATAAGAACCTCTACTGGAGGTACTTTCTTTGTGTGTGGTGCTGGGGATCAAATTCAGGGTCTAGAATAGATACAGCACATCCTCTGCCACCAAGCTCCGACTGGCCCTTGCGGGCCTTCCATGTCCCTGGACACTTTCAGGTCCACCTGGCCACTATGGGACTGCAGAGGCCCTGGACACTTTCACTTACCAGTGATCAGCACGCATTGTTTGAGGACCTGACAACTACCCTGCTGAGTAAATCAGCCTGTCTGGGCCAGCAGGGAGCCATAGACGAAGGAGGGGCTGGGCAGGGGAGGGGAGAGCTGCATGCCAGGAGGGCAGCTTTAGTTGAAGCTCAGACCCAGGATACTGAAAGGTTTCAGTAGGCACAGGAGTGATGGGAGTATAGGAGGGAAGGCCCTGAATGCCAGGCCAAGCAGTTTGATTCACATTTTCTAGCAATCGGGTGTGGGGGACAACTTAAGGACTTGCTGTGTGGGCTCCCCTTAACCATTATATAAAATTCTCTAGTTAAGGACAAAAGTAAATCTTTGCTAACGTAGTATTTTTAAGATACAAAAATCCCAGGAGGGGATTCTCCTAACTGGATGAGCTCGGAATTGAGGAAGACAGTGAATTGCTTACATTTTATGATTGGAAGGTTATCTGTTTTTTGTTTCCTGTGCCTATAAAGCACTTTTAACGTTCTTATAGGGCCAGCAAAATAGCTCAGCGAACTTGCTTAGGCAAGCACAGCGACCAGGATTTGATCCCCAATACCACATGCCACGCTGGCCCCACTTAGCTGGCGACCAAGTCCAGGCATGGTGGTGCATGCCTGTAATGCCAGTGCTGGGGAGGGTGAAGACAGGAGGATCGATACCTTAAAAAAAAAAATTCTTATAAATGGCCACTGATACTTAGGAGGTTGAGGCAGGAGGATCACTGCAAGCTGGAGGCCAGCCTGGGCTACATAGTGAACTCAAGGCCAGATTGAACTACATAGTGAGATTCTGTTGCAAAAAAACAGCAACAACAAAATTTCAACCAGTTTCCTCCAAATACCCACTACCTTTCATGAGATCAGAGTCTGCTATTATACTTCGGGGAAATTCACAGTGTTAGAAATTTTGGGCTGGTCAAATAGCTCAGCAGATTAAAGCACCTGCTTAGGCAGATGCAAGGACCACAAGTTCAATCCCCTGGCCTGCCATGCTGGCCCCACCCCTGGGGCATGCTGAGATGGCAATTGAGAATGGGCATGGTGGCACATGCCTGTAATCCCAGCATTTGGGAGGCTGAAAACAGGAGGATCACTACAGTGCCGATCTATGCAGTGAGACCCTGTACACCCTGTACACACCCTGTCCTAAATACAAAAAAAAAAAAAAAGAAATTTTTTCCACACACTTGGATGACTGTGTTTATGTGTCTTTCCACTCCCTGACCTTTGGTGCCTCTTGGGGATGACCACATGACTATTCCCTGGGTGGCCCTTCAGGCCTTATGGC